ATTATATAATTAAATAATTATATCAATAAAATTTATTATTTATTTTTTACTGTTTATTTTTCATCATTTACCATCTATTATCAATCATTCAGTATTTATTACTCATTATTATTATTTATTATCTATAACTCATTATATATTATTTATTAAATTTTAATTATTAAACCAAACATTTTTAATAATAAAACACTTCCGTTTAAAAAATGATGTTACTGTACGTTAGTCTGACCTAAAAATTTTTGAAGGGACAGAGGCCTTAAATTGATGTAGTTTTGTATTATTAGCTCTGAGTTGTGTGTCAAATTAAGACAGCACCCATCAGAGCTCCAGCGAGTGGCAGTGCGTGGCAGGTTGGTTATAGTTGGCCTTCGATAGCCGAGCCGTCGACATTGGCTAAGTAATTTTTCAACATCCAATCTTAAATACGACGCGGAAATATAAAAGTCCCGAGATTAAAATTGGAGGAAAGAAGATGAGATTCGCTAGAGTTCTTGATCACTTTCACCGCTAGAAAATCACATGGTAAGCCGGAAATACTACCTACAGGTTGCCTTTGGTTGTTTGCTAGTAGCATGAGGGTGGGGTCAGGCGGAGTACAGGGACCAAGAACTATAGTGGGGGGATTGAGGGAAGAAGAAAGAAACAAAAAGGGAAAAGAAAAAGAAAAAGAAAACAAAAAGTTGGAGTTCTCAAAACGATGACGTTTGGTATCCTGGTCTGCCTAAAAATTTTTAAACAAAAATCTACTTTTAACTTTTTTTTCTTAATAAATTTTGTAAATTTTAATCTTTTACTTTATATTGTAATATTTTAATTTTTTACATTTTATTGATTTTAATAATTGATTATTAATTTTATTAATTAAAAATAAATTTTTATAAATTAATAATTAATTAATAATCAGTAAATTTAATAATTATTTAATAAAATATTATAAAATAAATATTATTCTTTTAATTTTAATAAATAAAAAATTAAAACTATCATAATAATATAAAGTGAGGGAGTACAAGTGTCCTGTTATATATTTTTTTTTGTATGGATCATCCGGTATTTGAAAGCTTATTAAGTCACTGACCAATTCGGATTTGATCCGGGCAGGATTCAATGGACGGCAAAATTCTCCCTCATGAGTTTTAACGGAACTGCATTCTCAGGACTTGAACTCAAAACTTCTGGTTAAACTGAAAAAGTCCCAATCAACTCATTCACCCGCTCATAAGTATATCTGTTATATATATCCTTGTCAAAAGTAGGTTTTTCCCAAATTTTTAGGCCAGGCCGGCTGACGCCTACTTTTTCTTTAAAAAATTTTGTTTCGTGAGTTTTTTTGGGTACATTTTGTTTTGTAATTTGTTAATTACTGATATTGTTATTTGACAAGCATCTCACCGAAAAATGAGAGTATTTGGTAAAAGTTAAAAATATTTATTTTAAAAATAAAATTTTCACAGTTAAACTTAAAAATTTATTAAAAAATTTTAAATTTTAAAAAAAATGCTTTTAAATAAATTTTTTAAAAATTTACTTAATAGGTTAATTTTTTTTAAAATTGTTTAAAATTTAATTTAAAAATTACTGTTTTTATCTCTAAATAACAAATAATTTATTTAAAATTTATCTCAAAATAATAATAATTTTTTTATTTTTTAAGAGAAATAATTTTTTTTGTTTTAATTTTATTATTATCACTTTATTTTAATTATTTATCTTATTTTAATTTAAATCTCATTATTTTTATTTTTTAACAATAATATAAATAAAAATAAAAATTATTTTTAAAATTTTAATTTAAAAATAAATTAAAAAATACTTATAATTTTAAGATAAAAGAGTGTAATTTTAAAATTTTTTTATCAATAAAATCACTTCTTAAATTTTCTCTTACACCTTCAATATCTATAAATGCCTCTTGTTGACTTCTTTATTGACTTGCCTACGTTTTTAAGTAGTCCTTCTCCTTAGCCAGTTCAATTATTACAAAGAGGAGTTAGGCTTGTCAGTAGGTGTCCACTTTTTTCAATTTTTTTTCTGTCAAGCACGCAGGTATACCATCTACGTCTTCAGGCTTGATTCTCTTGTATTCTCTGTTGCAAGTTCACATGTGCATTTCCATATATTGTATGTAAGTATAGCATGGACTAAACAAATCTTGCGCTCAAAAGAAGAGGTCATTAGCCAAATCATTCTTGCCAGAGTTTTTCTGTGTTTAACAGCTAGTGGCTGAGTTCCGGAACATGAACATCATCTGACGAAATTTGTAAGTATGGTTAATTATATAGTTTTGGTTCTATTGCTAGCGCACCATTTTAATGTATTTCTGAACTTTATATAGTACATGAAAAATCATACTTGATGAAGCTTTAGTTTGGGAAGGCAGGTGGTACTTTTTGAGAGGTTTTTCTTCCCCTCGAGCCACTGCTCTCTCGTTTCAATTAGATTCATGTTTAACCTCTACGTGGTTTAGAGAACGTACATTTTATCTGTAACCTTTTTGAAGATTTCACGTTTAATATTAACAAACTTAAGAGGTCAAGCATATATTTTTCAAACCATAAGATGGTCAAGACTCGAGCACATTTACATGGTTTACGAAGGAAAGTGCCGATTTAAATGCACCCACTCCCAACCGCCTGAGAATAAGTGCAATTTCTCCTTAATTAAATGAAGTATTTTTGTTTTGAAATTGGAAAACTTTTTCTCCATATATATATATAGTTTTCAATTTCTTTCAAAGTTTATAATTTTGTAATTTAAACTATGTTAAATTATAGAACCAAGACATTCTGTTGAAAAGGACACGTCCCATCTAACAGCTAGTTTTGGGCTGCGTTGAAACATTCCTGCTTCCTTTATCCAAGTACTAACATTAGTGTTATTTACGGTGAAATATTTAATAAGCCAAGATGGAAATAGTTACTTCTCTCGGCGCCATTGTCCCCGAAGTTCTCAAGGAAGATAATTATGAAAGATGGAGCATTTTAATGAAATACTATTTAGTGACTCAAGATCTTTGGAATGTTGTTCAATCAAGCAAGAAACCTGCAGGAGGAAATAAGAGGGAGTTGATGAAAAAGAATGCTTTAGCCTTACATGCCATTGGGATTTCTTGTGGAAGAGAAGCATTTGATCAAATAAAGAATATAGACTCCGCCAAAGGTGCTTGGGATGCGTTGGCCGCTAAGCTGAAACCCCCACCAATTGGCCAACGTGTTACTTCTGATGTTTCTGAGCCCCACCAAGAAAGGCAAACAGGTTTCTTTTTTTTTTTTTTTTTTTTTTTTTAATTCTCCTTAATATTCCATCACACTGTTTGAGCTATTTTTTCCTCATTGGTCATTAATGAGGGTTAGCAATCAAGTTAACTATATATGTTCTGTTTTAATTTTACATAGATATCTTTTACAATTTGTTATACACTTAAAAATATTAATTCAGAGTTTAAAAAGGTAAAATACCCTTAATTAGAGTGTATGAAGATTTATTAACAGTTATTTTATCTTTTTTTCACATTATGGGCGGAAGATTTAACTGCAGTTTGCCTTAAAAAAAAAAAAAAACCATTTTCTTAATTTTAAAGAAAAGCAATATTTTAAAAATCAGACTAGACCAGACTGATCGGTTTAATCAACGTGACCAAAAATTGGTAACCAATAACTGATCTTAGCAATAGTTGATCATAAGGTACCAAACCGGTTGTAGTCAGGTCAAAACTGGTAAAATTCCAATTGGCTCAGCTTTTCTTAGTTTTTATATTTATTTTTTCTTTTATGATTTTTTATTTAGTTCTTATATTTACTTTTTTTTAGATAATATAATAATTAAATTGTAAATCAAATTAATTTTTAAATTCAAATTAGTATGGATGAAAATTTAAAATCAATTTCAATGTAACTTGAATCAGTTTCAAAAATGAAATCAATTTGAAGCTAAATTATTATTTCATGTTAGAGGATGAAATTAATTTGAAATCAAATCAAATCAATTTTGAGAATAAAATTGTTGAAATTAAATAACTACTTGAATAAATGAATTGAATGAAACCAATTTGAAATTAAAATTAATTTAATTTGATTTTGAAAATAAAACCAATAAAATAGAAAAATAATTATAATTAATCCAACATTAATGTTTTAGTCTTTTATATGGATAATAAACTAAAAATATTTTAGGCATTTTGATAAATTTAAGCATTTGAAATTAATCAATTTTGGACATGTAATAAATTTTTTTTTTTTGATAGAGACATGTAATAAATTTTGAAATTAAAATTAATTTAAAATTAATTGCCACTTTAATATATTAATTATTACAAAAATTATCTCAATTAATTTTAAAATAAAATAAGTTAAGGCAAGATAATTTTATAATTGATAAATCAATTTAATATTATTTTATTTAGTCAACCGTTTAAATTGTTTGGTTTGATCGATCCAACTAGTTGAGCCCGAACCAATAGCCAAAACGGTGTGGCCACTGGTGCTTTTCTTAAAACATTGGGTAGCATTCTAAAGCTTAATTTTTGATGTCTGTTGAAGTCGTGTGTGGCATTGAGATCATGTATTGGGGGTCTAGGTTTTGATTGTAAGAGAGCTAAAAAAGGGTCAAATAAATTTTTTTTTCCTTTTAAATGCATTTTGAAGAAATAGGTTGATACTATGACTTCAAATTTTTAATACAAACGATAATTTCTTATGACCATTATTGGCATGGTGTCCAGAGGAATTGGAGGGGCTTGTTTGCTATGGGCCCATTTCCGTCGTAAAGCAGTTCTTCTGTGACCATCCGGATCAAAAATCTTCACAAGTGTTAGACTCTGCTCTTAAGCTTGCAATTACTTGTGGCCGCAAGAAGCTGGCACACTACCTCTATCTGGAGATTCTACTTGTTGGTCTTCAACGGGGAGACTCTGACTTCCTCCTCCTCGAGCACTGTATAACCAAGAGAATGTTTGGTAAAGATTTCTACAATTCTTCTTCTTCTTAATCGCTATATACTTACTATGTCTTAAAATAATAAATAAATTTTAATTAAAAAATTATTAATATATACTCTTTTTAATACATTTTTTAACTTTTTTCAATTTTAGCTATTCAAATATAATATAAATGTAGTTGACTCATCTAGTTTCTACATTATGCATGTATATAGTTGCATTTTTAAATTTGTTAATTTTTAATTTCATAAAAAAAAATAATTTTTTAATAAATGCATTGTGTAATATGTACCAATTAGTATTCTTTTTAATTTTGTCTTCAAATTAAGAATGTGAGAACAATTTATATTTTTTCTTATATTACCATTTTAAAAAATAAAACAACTGTTTTATGATAGGATGAATAATTAAAATTAAAAAACAATGATAAGGTTAAGGTTAAATGCCAAATTTAGTCCCTAAACTTTCATTGTGAACAATTTTAATCTTTGAATTATTTTTTGCACTTTTTTCCTTCCTTAATTACGAAAAATGCATTCTTTTTTAATTCATCAATTTTATCCATTGAGTATGACCAATTGGATTTTCTTAATTTTCTTTAATATCCTAAATGTGCATAAAACAAAAGTTTAGGGCCAAGAAAATGCAAAGTATACAAATTTAATGGACAAAAACTAATACAACGACTAAGAAAGTGAATTTTTTATATTTTAAAAGTGCATTTTTTAAATTTAAAGAATGAAAAAATTGTAAAAAATAGTTTAGAGATTAAAATTGTTTAAAATTAAAAGTCTAGTGATTAAACATTTAATTTAAAATTAAAGTAATAGGAAACAAATATTTATCTTACTTAAAATAACTACTATTTTGGGACATTTTAAATAAAAAAATGTCCATCATTCTTAGATAGAGGGTGTATAATGTTGTTATTTTACTGCTGTCTAACAAACATATATATATACATATATATCAGATATTGCATTGGATCTACTCCATCATTTTCCAAATTTGGTATCTAAACACCCTGCGAATCACAATCCAATCGTTTTAACACTTGCTCAAACTGCTCCTCCATTCTTAAGTCTAAATGAGCTTGGATATTGGGGACGTTGGATATATAAATGTAAGTATTGCCTTTCTTTTTCACTTTAATTTGGAAGATAATTTTTCTTTTTATATATTTAAGGATATTGATATACATACACTTCCCCGTCGCACACCTCACCACACACTCACGATTTCCATTATGCATACTAATGGTCTCTATAATGCATGTAGCCGCTAAACTTCTCCATCTTCTTCAACTCTAGAAATTGCTGGATTTCTTAATCTTGCTATCATTTATGTAAGAAGCAAACATCCAACCCAAAAAAGTGTCATAAAGAATCAAAAAGACATTTCCAACAACTTACAAGAAATTAAAAAAAAAAAAAGCAAAATAAAATAAAAAAATTGGTTTGAAATTAGATATCTTTGATTCTAATTTCTCTTCATTGCACCCTATTTGCCCACTATTGCTGAAGTGGAGAAATTTTCTCATACGAAAACTGCTTCCATCCTCACCTTTGACCATGCTGCTTGTCGACCTTTCTCCGCCTCGCATGGCCTTGGTGTCTGAGCACTAGCAATTGAGGTTGAGGATGTCGAGGTTGTCTTTGCCACCAACGTTGCCCATGGCGCAAAGCCATCTTCCTCCCCAATTGTGCTCGACAATCGTGTTGTTATAGCTGAAGTCCATCTCTATGGCGATGTCGTGTTGTGCTACATTAGCTATAAAAACTCGGCATCTGGGTTCTCCTTGAGAACCTTCTCCAGGGAGAACCCAGAAGAGGTTCTCCAAGGAGAACCCAACGAACCCAGATCTGAGTTCTTCTTCAACAGATCAAGGAGGGAAAAGAAGGAAGAAGAGAGGAGGAGAAGGAAAGGAGAAAAAGAAAGGAGGAGGAGGAGGGAACAGATCTACAGATGGAGAACTCAAAAGCAGAGAGAGGGAGAAAGGAGAGCAAAGAGTGCAAAAGGGCTGGGCGGGTAGTAACGGAGAGACGGATTAAGAGGGTGTTTGGTGCAGATTGTGAAAAGAGCTTTTTGGCTCTAAAAGCACAAGCTGCACCAAACGGGTCAGCTTCTTAAACGTGCTGCAGCTTTCTAGAAGCTCACCTTTTCGCCATTCCTTTGCAAAGCCTGAAAGCACCAATTTCTTACTTTCGCAGGAGCTTCTCGCTTCATGTTTAATGAAATTGACATGGTCTTCCCATTTTATCTTCACACTTCCTTTTATTTACAAAAAAAACCAGTATATAAGGGTCCAATTTATAACATCACCGCCATTATTGAGCAGCCCAAGCACATTTGTTTCTTCTTCCTCACCTAATCAGAAACAAACCAAAAATACTTAACTATCTTCTTAACTATCTTCTTCCTCACCCAAATCAAAGAAACAAATCGAAAATGCTTAGCGTAATCCCTCATCTTCCGTTCAGAGACAAACCCAGGAGCTGGGTTCGCGACGAACCCCGCACTTGGGCTTCGAGACTAACCCAACGCCTGGGTTCGTGACGAACCTCGTGCCTGGGTTCTGAGACGAACCTAGGAGCTTGGTTCGAGTGGAACCAGGCGCGGGGTTTGTTGGGTTCGAGAAGAACCCAGCGCCTAGGTTCGAGACGAACCCAATGCTTGGGTTTGCGTGAACCCAAAGGTGAAAAAAGAAGAAGAAGAAAAAAACAGCAAAGGATGGGAGAATATAAAATATTTACATTGATAATTATATAATTAAATGATTTTAAGATTATATTAAAATTTAACCATATTATTAATTTTTATCGTTTGGATATTTCGTGTAATTTAAGTAAGAAAAAATATAATTTTTTTAATTAATATGTCTCATTAAAATTTAATGAAAAGTATTAAAAAGAAGTTGAATTTTTTAAACTTTAAGGATTAAAAAAAGTTTTTTTTCATATAAAAATTAAATGTAATTTAAGTAAAGAAAAAATATAATAATTTTTTTAATTAATATGTCTCATTAAAATTTAATGAAAAGTATTAAAAAGAAGTTGAATTTTTTAAACTTTAAGGATTAAAAAAATATTTTTTTAGTACAAGAATTAATAAAGGATTTTTTTAAAAAGTAGAGGACAAAAAAGAATATTTAACTTAAGTTTTAATTTTAATTGTCTTATTTATGTTATTTAAATATAATAATATTTTATTTTTTAATATTAAAATATAAATATTTATCTAACATTTATGTATTAAAATTTGAATAATTAATTTTTAATCATCAACTTTAAATTAATTATAAATTTAAAGTCATATAAAAATATAGAAAAATAAAGTGAGTGATGAAGAAATAAACAATGTCTATTTCAGTTATGTTAATATTAAAAGGTCTTTTATAAAAAAATTTACCAAACAAATTTTCACTTTGCAAGTACTTTTATAAAAAATTTTACCAAACACTTCTAACTTCTAAAAAACAACACTTCTACAACAGATTCTCTCTAACAGGACTTTTATTAAAAGTTCTAGCGACACCAAATACACCTTAAGTAACAGACAATGAATGGGTGTAACGAAGTGTGTAACGGAGAGAGTAAACGTATTACTGTCCTATATTTAATTATTTGGCCAAAAGCAAACTTAATCGGAGACTCATCACAGCTCTTATACCCTAACAAATTGAGTTTTTTGGATTTCTCCATCTTTCATTCTTTTTTCCGATTTGTTCTTCGGAGTTGATTTAGAGTGCGTTCCGAATTACTTTCACAGGTCTTTTTGGATAAGGTTCTTTATCATTTCTAGCTTATATTAGAGTATGATGATCTCAAGTTTAAGATCACTTGCATATCATCATGTTGAGAGTACGTACGAACTTGAAGTAGCGGAGCCAGATATATTTTTTAGGGGAACAAAATATTGACTAAGAAATGGTGTGTTTGTGTGCACATTGAAAAGTTGATAAAAAAGAAATTTTTTTAAAAAAATTATTATAAACAGAATTTATTAGTTTTAATTGTAAATTAATGATTGTTGATGAAGTGATATAAGTTTCATCAACTGAAGGACAAAATGAACATATATAAATGTTTTTTTGGTACATAGGATGGTAGGTTATATGACGTGAGATAGTCCTCTTCTTTTCAAAACTCTCCTCATTCCAAAATTTAAATTAAAGATCTCTTATGTGGAGGGTTAGCTTTTTAATCCCTGAGGTATCTCTTAGGAGACAAATGAACATATATATAATGAGTAAAAGAACACTACTTAAAAAAGTAAAATAAAAAGTTATTATTAAAAGTAATCTTTAATAATAAAAAATAACTAAAATGATAATAAAACTATTTAAGATGAAATATAATAAAATAAAATTTAGAGTCTAAACTTCTTTTTCAAAAGATTGGGGGGGGGGCTGCTCCGATGGCTTCGTCAATGTCTTAAAGGTTAAAATACTAATTTAGCACTTGAGTGTTCAGATATGCAATAAAAATATTCTTAAACTTCGAAAAGAACTTAAATTTTCGATACCAATTAATATTTTAACCTAACTTGAACCATGTATGGTTCTCATGTTCTTATCCAAGAACGAGTACTTTATGCATGACAATTGCTAGCCTAAATCCTCAACTAACAAGTTTGGTCTATAAATAGAGATTAATCTTTGTGATGTTGATGTCTCCAGATTGTTCGTGTCTCATCTCAATGTCACCACTATCAACATCAAGGACATTTAAGTAAGGTCTATAAAGCACATTTTACGATAAGGTCCTCACAAACAATACGTACATTTGCTCCCTACTACAGCTAACTATACAGCGAACTTCATTGATGTTTAAAGTACATTGAAAAAAAATTTATGTACATGATAAAGATATAAATTGTAAGAAAAACAATTGGAAAACTTTCTAGTTAAACATATTCACTAACACATACTAATTCAACTATTAAAATTTAAAATTTTAAGTTTGTGCACATTTAATTTAAATTTAAAGATAATAATTTTTTAATAAGTTTTTTTGTAGAGTATATTAAATTATAAGATATACCGATTATTTTCCAAATTATAAATTCACATGCACATGAACAATCTAGTGTGTAACATGACCCAATTATATATCCTTATTTTCTCTTTTTGATTTTTCTAGAGTTTTTCCTTGTATGCACCACCATTTGTGTTTCTAATTTTTCAGTTCTTTCTAGAAAGTAACTTTTTGTGAACAAGTCGCTCAATTGCTATGTACATTGACTGTAATTTGTAAGTGAAGCTACACGAGTGAAGGCGTTCCCCATCAAACCAAAAAGTGCTCCAGTTTGTGGTGTTGGCATCGTTCAAGATAAGCTAAGGAAATGGATATGTATGCTAATAATTATTTTTTTAATTATAATTTGAATTAAGTTTATCTTTAGTTATTTTTTAAGTAAATTTATTGTCGAAAAGAGTTTATATTATTATACAAGCCTACAAACGATAATCTAGCAGTTACACAACGCAAATTAGTTAAATTTTTAGTTCTTGTACCAGAAGTTAAAATACTTAAAGCAATGTTGTTGTCTTTGACTTAAAAAGAAAAAGACAATTACTTTTTAAAAGTTAAATGTTAATTTTGGTCATTTAACTTTCAAATTTACATAATTTTTACATAATTTTTATTCTTTAACTTTTTTATGCGCTTATTTGATCCCTTAACTATAAAAAATGCACATTTTTAGTCTTTCCATTGATTAGTTCGTTAAATCTATCTGAATTTGCTTTTTTTGAGTCCCTCAACTTTTGATATCTATAAATTTTTAGTCCCTTAACTTTAAGTTGAGAGACTAAAAATGTGCATATTTAGACAAATTTAACGGACAAACTAATTGAAGATTAAAAAAGTATATTTTTCAAAATTAAGGGACCAAAAAAGTGTATAAAAAGTTAAAAGATCAAAATTATGTAAAATATTAAAATTAAGAGACCAAAATTAATATTTAACCTTTTTTAAATAGCGAAGAATTTGGAGTAACCAATAACTTAGAAGGCAATATTATTAAGGAATGCTTATAGGGTGCTTGGTTAAACTATTTGTAAAAAGGTACTTTTTCATTAGTTATGGTTCAGGTTCAAACCATCATTCTTTCTATCTTTTTCTCCGTAAGGTTTCAATCAGTTGGCTTATGCCATTAAAAAAAAAAAAAGCAGTATTATTTTTATTAAGGCTCAAAAGAAATCAATTATTGCACTTGTAAAACTCATTTTTTTGATTCAGAGCACTGACTTCTAAATATATATAATCCATTGCTTGCAGTACCGGTACTATATAAGTTTCATCTAGTATGCGTGATGATTGGACTACTATGTTGGATGCCTTGTTGGTTAGCTGGTAAGCAAGAATGTCAACTCATTAGTACCTTTTTTTTTTCCTTTTCCTTTTCCTTCATTTTTGTGCTATATCTTGATTCTTATTTGTAAAAAATAAATCCGACATGTTTCTTCTTTTGATTTCTATAAAATAGATATTATTTTTTAGCTGCTTGTGTTATCAACATATATATGTTCTTTTTCATTTGCCAGAGCAAAGAAGTCGATGGACGTTTGTGTTCTTGTGTTCGTTTTATGATTGGAATTGAGTTTACTTTTTGTTCGTGTAATTATGATTAAAGGCAATTTTTTTATTTTTGTTTTTGCTAATTAAAGATCATAGAAAGACAATTGATTACTGCAACTGTGAAACTTTTTCTTTTTGAATCTTCAATATAATTCATTCATTGCAATGGCATTCGCCCTAATGGACCTGTTCCTTATTTTTATTTTTATTTTTTTTTCAGTGAGAGCATCGTTTGAATTTGAATTGGGCTTATTGTTCCTTGGTAAGGAATAACTTCCACTCAATTAGCCTTGCTTTTTTCCTCTTGTTTTTATCTTGTATCTTGATTATTATTTGTAGTTTTCCAAAAACAAAAAATCTATATTTTTTTATTAACATCTAATCCTCTTATTGACTGTACATGAAATCCTTTCATCACGAAATTCAAAACAATGCTTGGCTGTTTAATTAGAAGAATTAAGCAAAAATATGATCTAATTAAAGTCAGCAAATGTAGTTGTTCATGCTTTTGTTTTATAATGTGTATTAGGTTCATTTTGGATTTTTTATAAACAATAAGAAATTAAACTTAATCAAATTTATACTAACCACTTAAAAAACCTTAATTAAGTCAACGTAAGAGAAGATAAGCTCTGATATTAAAAAAAAAAAAAAAAATCTTTTTGCTTTAAATCATAGAAAGACAATGAATTAGTATTAAAGTTATGAAATTCATTTTTTCTTCTAAATATATAACACAATTATTGCAGTTCCACTCCTCAAGCTAGATCTACTATGCGTATTAATTGGAGTGCCTTTATATTGTTTTCTTGGTAAGCAGTTACTTCCACTCAACTTTTATACTTTATAATTCTTTTTCACTTCGTTATATATGGATGTGAATGTTCATCGTTTTAATTAAGTTCATTTTTTGTTCAGAATTAAAAGGCAATTCTTTTGGCTATTAAATAGAAAGGCAATCAAGGATTGCAGTTATGAAGGTCTTTCTTTCTAAATGCTTGATATATAACTCAATTTATTGCAGTGCCAGAAGACGAACGGATTCTATTCGACAAACTATTTCCAGTGTTTTTATTGTTACTTGGTAAGCAATAACGTCTACTCTATTTCGGTAGTTTTACTTTTTCTTAGCCAGCAGACTCTGAAAACTTCTCTTCGAAACTTCTCTGAAAATTTGTGAATTTGATTTGAGATGAATGAGACGCAGGAGAGCAAATATAGATCAACATGAATGATTCTACAACTAATAAAATTTGTTTATATAGGAAAAGGAAAAGACTTTTGGTTTTGGAAACATCTCAGACACACTTATCTCTTAGCCAAGTAGTTTATTAACCACAAACGTCTATTGTCAACATATTTGTTTGTTAACTGCTAACTTTCCTTCAAATTTTTTTTTTTTTGAACAACAAAAAATAATATTTATTGAAAAACAAAGTTCAAGGAACCCCAATAACTTCCCTTCAATTTGAAAAGTTCCAAAATAATTAACATGTATCGATGTTTTTTATTTATCTTCCAAACCAAAGTCTCCCATCTGATTTATCCCTGATGTGGGAGAGGTTAGGGGGTATGGTGGACTTGGAGATTTAGTGGCCGTTTAGCAAAAATTTACGCTGTGAACAGTAGATGTGAATAGTAAACAAGATTAAGAATAAGGTTTAGAAAAGGAAAAAAATAGAAAATAACAAAAAAATTAGAGAAAAATATGAGAAGTCGCATCTAGATTTTTTTAGGCATCATACCTAAAGGGAATAACTCTTAAATAGCACATCTAAGACTAATTGCTTCACACATCTGAGATTGTATAACACAACTCAAAAGAAAGTTCTTACTGCAAATTTCTGAATATTGTATTACTCAATAATGAGACAAGCTACATGCTTATCTATATTAAGATTAATGTCACTAAAAATCTTCTAACTTTGCAAAAGGAGTTATCATCTTTTTACTTCAAAGCAAGTCATAAATATCCTTAAACTTTGAAGAAAGAGCCAAGCATCGTCTTTTTTTTTTTTTTTTTTTTTTTTT